ATTGAGCGTGGTGGCCACCGAGGTCACCGGACCTGACTCCATTGGACTTTTATCTGTGGGGCCACTTGAAGTCCGTCGTTTATGCAACACCCACAAACAATGATGACGACCTATGGGAACGTGTGCAGAAAGCATGCCAGATGATTCGATGAAACCCTGGTGTGTACGAACGAATCCGTCAGTCTTGTGTACGTCGTGCTCGTGCATGTGTGGAGAATGGAGGAACAACCTTTGAGCATCTGTTACAAAGAAACATCCCTGTCCTTATACTTGGCAACAAAGGCATACATTGAAAATTATTTTTGGCTATTATTTCGAAAATGAAACATTTGCGACCCCATGTTCATAGGAACACTTTTTCTTATTTTTGATCCAGGAACACGAACACGAAGTTTGTAAACATACTTCTGACTCATCCTGTATAATAATTTTGCGGTTGATTCAGTGTCTTTAAATAAACATAACTTACGAATCGGAAAAAAAGAACTATAACACACCTACGCATCATTAATTGGATGCTACGTATCTTCAGTAGCAGCTACAGCACTGATATGTCTTTAATGTACTGGATTTGATACCAGATATCTTACAATTGTGCAGTGGAAAAATTTTAAAACTGCAATCTTTCCCTTGTAGCACTGTCTTCAGAAGTAATATTAGCAGCTAGCAGTCAAAAATGGAAATTCAAACAAGAACTTCATGCTGTGCGATTAAACTGGGGAGAGACCGTTCAAGTTTCAGTGGTCAGACCGACAGGAGGTCAGTTGTGTTACAGGTCGCTTGGGTCCGAGTGGACACGCAGACAATCCTCTCGATCCATCACAACGTGATCACGCAGAACCCTCGCATCTCCCTGTCATACAACGACCATCGCTCCTGGTACCTGCACATCAAGGACGTACACGAGGCTGACCGCGGCTGGTACATGTGTCAGGTGAACACCGATCCCATGAAAAGTCGACAGGGATACCTTCAGGTCGTGGGTGAGTAGCTTCCGTCGCACGTTGTGATTAATTTCAGTTTTGTCAGCAAATTCGATACTTCAAAGTGTTGTTCTGTCGGGATTTGGCAAGTCTGACCAGTCGTACATTAATTTTCGTGACAGAGTGACATACTTTATCGTACGGCAACATCAAAATTATGAGCCTTTTTTTTCACAGAGCGTGTTTTTCTCCGGAATATACCGGAGTTATTCAACAACTTTTATCATTCCTCAATCGTCGCCAGTTCTTTAAGCAGAGCGCCAAAATTTGCGAAATTACGGGGCACGTAAAATGATTGACAATAATTTAAAATCTCGGAACCATTCTTGTCCTAGGTACAATTCAAACCCTGGACATTCAAGAAGGAATTTCATATTTCACACCGCCACTTAAACCTTAACCACCACAACCAAATGACACACTTGTTTAATAAATAATTACAATTGGTTTCTGGAATACAATGACATTCGATGCTTTAGGATTATCAGAATAGGTATTTAGTCGAAGATTCCTGTCTTCTGGGTTGTTGCGCTGTGTAGTCTGGTTGATGTTAGCCAACGTTTCAGAGGTCATACTACCTCCGTCTTCTGGGCGATGATCATCGCCCAGATGACGGAGGCAGTATGACCTCTGAAACGTTGGCAAACAGCAACCAGTCTACACAGTGCAACAACCCAGAAGACAGAAATCTTCATACTCTGATGACGGAGGCAGTATGACCTCTGAAACGTTGGTTAACATCAACCAGACTACACAGCGCAACAACCCTGAAGACAGGAATCTTCATACTAACCGCTGTGAAAACCTCAAATCTTACAGGTATTTAGTCGTTTAGACTTCCCTTCTGTCATGTAATATCACGGATGATGAAAATAATTTATTTCAAACTATAATACGTGTAAAAGTAAAGTAAAATCATCCCGTTACATGCCAATAGGGGAAGAGAGCGTATAGCTCTTACTCATTCTCCAACCTCGGCACTAGAAGGGAGTGAGTGGCAGCAGTACGACCCAGACGCACATTACCGCCCAAGGAAGACCCCAGTACCAACGAGACACAAGCCTGGGCCCAGAGCCGGTCTGGACGCAAAACCCTTTGTCTCTGGCGAAGATCAAATACCGATCGCCCAATCCGTAGTCAGTCTCTAAACTGACTGAGCTACCCGGCTCAACTATAAAACATGTGTATTTTAGAAATCCATTGTATGTTTCGCTGTCCTAATAGCAATTGACATTCATATTCGCATAAACTATTGTGAAGCGTTAGGTAACCTGTGTAGTTGATACAAGTGTTGTAAGATAAGCTAGAAGTAATGCAGGTTTCACTCCTCCTTCACGCATATATTCCAATCTCTCCAAAAAGATTTTTGCAGACGTTTTCGAAACACCCAAAGGGCCAGCATAAAAATATTTCGCCTAAATTATACGCTAAAAATATATCAATAAACATAGGCAAATAGGAAATTAAACAGAAAAAGATTTGATTTTCAGAAACATAAAAGTATGTTTTCCAGTGAAACCTTGTATGAAGAAACTAATTAGACATCTCACATGACATTACGTTAAGTAGACCACGCACGATCTCAGTAAAAGACTTTCTAATATCGGGAAAAAATTAAATATTTTATAATCTTAAGAGATTCAGTGTAACTAATCCTCTTAGTTCTTGCATGGTGAAAGCGCTGGTAAAAAATAATACACAGGTGGCTTCAATTTTTAATTTAAACTTTAATAATTAAAACTTATTACTTAAATATTTTAAACTTACAACTGCGTCTTATTTCTAGTTTGTCAATAATTACAAATTATGCATGAAATATTAAATGCAGAAACAGCTACTGGTACCGATTTTTTTTAAAATACATAAATTAATTGAAGATAAGCCTGATAAGAGTTGTAAACTGAAGTGCGTCGCTATTAAACCTTCACAACACAATGTTAACTGCATGTCCCACCTGTTTCAAAAATAAATAATTCTTTATTTTGTATTAATGAATTTCATGTGATTCTCACTATAAACAGGAATTATTTCCTTAAATCAAATTAACGAAATGTTCTTTGTAATGGCGAAGAATTGAGCTTTATTCGCGATACTACCGAATCTTAAAATATTATCTAGACGATCATCGGTTTCAAAGGGTTAATAACTTATTAAATAAGTAAAATTTTATTAGTTATGTAAATAAAAAGTATGTAGCTAAGAAACGTGGCCCCTACATCTTGTCAAATGCGGCCACAACACCTTTCTACTCTGTATCATGTCATCGACAACAACAATATGAAAGCTTGTGAGATGGGAGGAAAAATATGATAACAGCTTCATGAAACACGATAATTTTTAATGCACGCTTTTGTATAACTTAAGAAAACAACATGGCGGCTGTGTAATATTACGTTTAATATTTTATTCTGACCACAGTAGCTAATAAAATATTATATTCAGGAATGTGAAATTCTATTATGGATAGGGATTATAAACATATTTATGACTTCATATCAAACTATTTTGCATATTAGTATTTACAAACATAAACACTCGAAAATGCACGATTGTCTGACTTTTAACGTAGTGAGGAAACGTACCAATGGACATTATGCATAGAACTACATCACTAAATAATATACCGAGTGGTTAAAAAGTTCCTGTCAACCTGTAAAAACACATGTATATTTCTGATGGTCAAGTGACGCTTACAACACTTCACATCTTACCGAAGGAAGGCAGTCACGTGGTTCCAATCACATAGGTCATCTAGTGCGTGTGTGTCTGTATGTGCACAGGGACTTCTAAAACACTTCGCACTTCCAAAATTTGTTGTTCTCACATTTGCACGGGGCCTTTGAAACACCCTGTAATAACATAATCCTAGATCGCCTCACCACAGATAGAAACATCTGAAGGATAGTAGGCGTGGAAGTTCCTCTGAGAACTTCCCGGTTTTTTTTTGCAGTTCCCCCATCCATAGTGGATAGGGAAACCAGCACGGACATGGTTGTCAGGGAGACGGCGAACGTCACGCTGACATGCAAGGCGACCGGGTACCCTGAACCCTACGTTATGTGGAGACGGGAGGATGGTGAAGCCATCATCTACAATGGTGAAAACGGTAAGTAATACAACTGGTAAAATACCAGCAGATATTACGACGTATTTACATGTAGAGCTGCAATGACACCAGTTTTATATCATGTTACAGCGTCTGTGCCGATGTAAATTTATTTCTGTAACGATTTCTGACATTGAAAAAAGCTCAAAGGCTATTAACATTACAAAAATAATTTATTTTAAAATATATTATTATTATTATTAGTGTTCTGTCTGATGACAGGTCCATATATTATGAACAGGATCCTTCCATCCCCTTCAGGTTGTCAGGGCCCTGCTCATACATATATACATTCTTGGCAGGTGATCAGAAGTGGTTTGCCATTGCCTTCTTCTGTGTGTG